GGAGGGAGGGGCGGGGCGGCTGTCGCCGTGCGGCGCTTCAACAACTGTCCTGCGTCTGACCTCAAAGTGCACGAGCTTCAGACTTCAGCGTTGGCTGCGATTTTGAAGCTGAAATCGCGTTCGGTGTGAACGCACCATAAGTGAAAACAAGGTGGTTTTGACTCACCACGGAAAGTCCCTGAAGAGTCCTAATACAAAAATCAGCAAAATTACTTCACTCTGGAAAGTACACAGAAAGTCCAGTGGTGGAAAGCCCCAGCTTATCACAGGATGGCAGAAGGGGGGGGGGCAAAACAGTATAAAAAGGGAGCAGTTTCAGCAGTAAGTGGTCTTCTGGCCCCGTCTGGAGAAGAGGCAGCAAAGGCAAGGACAGCCTAAGAAGAAGAGCAGCAGATCCAAGAGACATCTCAGCTGGGACAAGCTGCCACAACTGCTCTCCAGCGATCGACAGACCAAAGACCAGATTAAACAACCCAGCTTTGAGAGGTGCTCTCTGGCAACAGTCTGCTGCTTTTCATGGAGGCAAAACCATCACTACTCCAACTGTCCTTCCGTCCAAATTAACAGAAAATGCCACACAGCCTAGTCATAAGGTTAGGTTGCGACTYAGATCTTTTTATTTTTWTCACCATCAATTATTATTCAATATTTTTAATCTGTATAATCAAATGTGGCTTTTCTTGCAAATTTCTATTAAACTGCTTACAGCATCATAAAGACAATTCCATGACTGGACATTGGTTTTTAAAGTTTTTCTCTGATTACATGAGTGTGTTTTTACTTCAAAGCAACAAGGTGTTAACATATTAATGAGTGTGTTTACTTTGAAGCCGAGAGGTAACTATAAGAGGTCATAACTTAGCAATAAGTTTATTTTTAATGGTTATTAGCCTGGGGAGATAGRATAACTCCCTTTCAGAGTTCCCTTGAGACCTGCTGTCCAGGTCACTAAACATCATCTCTGTCACAGTAAGAAGTGCAGATCCTAAGGGGGAGCGACTACCAGTAACAGTGGTGACTGGCTGCTGGAGGCGTCCTGAGCTACTGCGCTGATCCAGAGGCCGGGGTTCACGAAGGGAGCGACCACTGGAAGGAAGGCAGCTAGAGGCCGAATTAAAGGCTCCCGCCCCTGTCTCCCGGAGGAGACACGCCGGACTCAGCCACACAGGCCACCCCAGGTGGCTGTGAGTCTGGTCAATCACCTCCAAACCAAGAAGGAGACATTGTCTCCTCTCCAAGACCCATCGGTGTCCTGGTGGGTAAACTGGGGGAGGAGCCACAAAGGAAAACATCTTAATATATGTTGATGTTGTCTATGTGTCCCCGAACTGTATTTTTTGTTTTGTTTTACTAAACACAGTACAACTTTTTTCTGTTTGCCGTTTAAATGTCATGATCTGGGGTCAGATTTATAAAGGGTTGCATGGAAACCATACTAAAAGTGAACGTACGGCCAAAAGACGGAAATGGCGTACGCCAAAAAAAAAAATCAGATTTATAAAACTGTGCGTACGCATGTTTCTGCGCACCTTTCATTTATAAAGCACAGCCGCACGTCAGAGTTTGCGCACAAGATCCCGCCTCAGGTTCTGCCCTCTACACGCCCACATTCAACCATAAACAGTCAATGYAAAGTACCTCATGAATGTTAAGATGTATTTAAATCAGTCAGTTGATCAATGCCAACAAAAGTGATTGGTTCAGACGCTCCGTCGTGTGTCTGGAGGTTGACAGGTGCTGACTGACAGCTGCTCACGTGAACAGAATGTCTGTAATTGATTTTCCCTCATTTTGCTTTAGAGAAATCTAACGATTTTTATATTAAAAAATCTCAGCTTCAAATTAATTTTCCATCAGAGCCTGCAGGACGATGAAAACAATAAAAATCAAATTAAATAAGTCAGATAAAATTAGAAATAAGTCCACCACTCTTCTCCCTGTCCTCCCCCCCCCCTGCCTGCTCTGTTATCCGCGGTAGATACCCCCGCCCCGCGCGCACACACACACACACACCCGTGTGCGTGACAAACACAGACTTTAAACGTGAAGGTTTATAACATTCACACTGGCGAGGTGGATGCGCCCTGCGCGTGTATCCAAAGCATGACTTTTGCTGTCCTGCTGTTCTTGTCGGGGAGGGGTCTGTGGGTCAGGGTCGTCTGAGGAGGAAGCAGGTGAATGGAGTTGCACACGGGAACTTTTATTTAAGATTTAAGTTTTTTATTTCAAAGGTCCTCATGGCTCAGCAGCAGAAGCATAAATGTTACTGTTAAAAAAGCTGATGATAAAGTTGAATAAAAATTTAAGTCTGATGAAGTGAAATTAAATCTCTGATAGTGATCATTACACAGTGTGGCTCTAATTCTTCACTTCACCATCTGTGTCGCAGCTTCCCGTCTCCAAAACAAGCGTACGCAGGGGTCAGAGCTGGCGTGAGGCACCGCACATTTTCATGTCAAGTTTGGATTTTATAAATCACAACCTTGGCGTAAAAAGTGGCATACGCAAGTTTCTGGGCTCAATTTGTGCGTACGCAAGCTTTATAAATCCGACCCCAAACTCTATATTATGTGTTTGTTATTAAAAATTATTAAAACTTTATTGTAAAAAAGAAAATAAACACTTGTTAATAATGAATTTTGTTTGAATTTACTCATTAAATATTATGTATTTTATTTTGTATGGTGTCCCGAGATTTTTTGGGAAATACTTGCTAAAAATAACAATTCAATGATATGATTAAAAAAAACATTCCAACATGTAAAAAAATTTAAGTTKAAAAAAAAAAAAACAAGATAAATACCTGACCTAAACAAGCTGAATAATTTTACAAAAATGACTTAGGATAATTTACACAGATCATCTATCCTTGTCATGTTTTGGCTGCTCCATCTGTTTTGCTCTCCTGTCACTCATGCTCTGCTCACCTGTTCATGCCACGCCTCCTCATTCAGTGCCACAGCAATCAGCCTCATCTGCCTCACCTATTCCCACCAGTATTTAAGCTCCTCAGCCACAGTCACTCACTGCCAGATGATTGAACGGTTCGCCCAGTAGATGTCCAGCACTCTTTCCATGTCTGAGCTCTCCTTTTTGACCCACTGTCTGCCTCTCGACCTCTGCCTCCTACCTGATTCTTATGCCGACTTTGATCCCTGGCCTTCGACACGTTTCTGTTTTCTGGACCCTGCAACTTGGATTGTGATTTGGATCTGTTACTGGCTCTCTGACTACCCGGCTCTGACCTTGGACTGCTCTCTGGATCTCCTGACCCCTCTCACTCCTCCACCTGGATCCAAATCCTCTTGGGCCAACATCTGTGGACTCACCCAGGCTCGTTCGTCTGCAGTTGGAAAGTCAGTAGCCACTTCCTGTTTTTGCAAATCCTCGGTCTCTAAACCTGGCACTCGTCAGTGTTCTGCTCTACAGTGTTTGCCGTCCAGAGGGTCCAGAGGTTCCTCACAGTGAAATAATAA